GGCAAAGGTACGCTTCTACTGAGACAGGTTTCTAATATACATTCACATGCACATCAGACACATGTTCTCGCTGTTTCTTGGTGATGCCTGAAGTTTTCTCTCTGACACTGAGAAGAAAATGTAAGAGAACAATGATTCATTCTTCTTACAGGGGAAAAATAATCAAGTCATCTCAGGGAGAACTGAATTAATAATAAAACACTGATTAAAACAGAGAAAACTTTTTTTAATTTGTTGAGCAGAGAGTTCTCATCTGTGTTTTTGAGCCCTATCTAACCCAAGTGATCCTGAATGTATGTCAAAGAAATTAAGATTCAGGAACATTTAGGAAATTGAAAAACTACAGGAACGAATGTCATAAAGCAATATATACGCATATACAAATGGTTCCTAAGATGTTCTTAGCATTTAGATCTTGTGGTTGACAGCATCCTGAAATATCTAGATGTGTTGGGGGCAAGGAGAATATAATAGAAACTTCTTGTGCTTAAGAATCAGGTGGACCTGAGGTCAAATTCCAGTGCTTCCACTGAGCAGGTATTTGGTTTGACTGACTTTATCAATGGTTCCGTAGTCTGCCTTTTTGTCTGTAATGCAGAGTTAGAATTCTCACCTTACAGGAGCATTGTGAAGATTATATGAGATAGCAGAAAAATAACTTTGTAAGTTTGTTCAATTACATTAGGTAATTCCCTTTTTTCTATAGTACTCCTGGTAGCTGCAAGATACTATAAACACTCAAAAGGAAATCTGAATTACCAATTGTTTGCTATTCTTATCCTTCCCTCCCTCCCTTCCCATCTCTCTTTCATTCTTATTCTCTCTTCTTGCTTTCAACACTTTTATTTTCATTATAACAGATGTGCCAAAACCTCAGTACAACACTTTAGGCTTTTTAGAGTGAAAATATTATATAAACGTAAAAACAAATATATGACTATAACAGCAATATGTCTCTTACCACTGTAGCCCCCAACCCCCAGGCAATGGACCACTATTGGTCCATGGCTTATTAGGAACCAGCCATATAGCAGGAGCGAGCAAACTTCATCTGTATTTACAGCTGCTCTCCATGGCTGGTAGCTTGTATCACTGCCTGAGCTCCACCTCCTGTCAGATTAGTGGTGGCATTAGATGTAGGAAAACAAACTCAGTTCCCAGTGATTCTGCATTATAGTGAGTTTTATAATTATTTCATTATACATTACAATGTAATAATAATATAAATAAAGTGCACAATAAATGAAATGTGCTTGAATCATCATGAAACCATCCCTGCTGCCCTTCGCCCTGCCTCCGCCATGGAAAAATTGGTCTTCCATGAATCTGGTTCCTAGTGCCAAAAAGGTTGGGTACCACTGTCTTATGAGATGCAATTTACCATCTCTCACCTCCTTAAATTGAAAAACCCACCCATATAATTCTAATGTGGATTGCTTCCTTAGGTTAATCATTCTAGAAAGCCCCTAAATTCCATTAGGGTTAATTAAACTCTGCTACATTATATCATATATATATATCTGTGTCTGTTGACCCACTGATTTGATTCAATGTTCAAATAATAATGCTACACTTTATTACTCAGTGGTATCTGAGATACTTTGGATATGGTTATATGTATATTTTTGTTTCAAAATATAATTCTGCATTTGATCACAAGATTCAATGGAGAATTAGAGAAAGAAAACATGTAAATATGGCCTTTTTTCATTCTTATTTTCTTTTCCAGATTGCCTCCCTCATATTTTCATATCAGCTTATATATACTGATATACAATGTATATACCATAAAAACCTCTAATTCTACTTAAAAAGACAAAGTTTTCTGGTCTGGGTTTGAATGAGTACACCATTCCCAGTAAAATATCCCCGTTTCCTGATAGGGTTACTCATTAAAATAAGTAAGGAATTTGATTCAGATACCCACAGATTTCCGGGGACATTTGTCACTTTCTTCTGGCACTTTCTTGGCAGGAATTACAAAACAGTAACCTAAGGATAGATGCAGTCATGCATTTCTTTCACTCTGTATCCACAGTACCCATGACTAACTCTTCAAGGGAAAAAATAATTTTTTGTAAAGGGTTCATTTATTTTCCCCTTATGTTGTTTCGAATTCAAACTCCTTATTTACTCTTTAATAGGGTCTCAACTCTTGGTGATTGTTGTAAACACAGAAGCTGTTACCTTCATGAAGGTAACAGTTTCCCCAGGGTTATGATCAGATTTGGATCAAAAGAGCTAGCGCATATGTCAAAAAAAGGTAGGGAGAAGTTAATGAGTGATATTTACTGGTAGCAATAGTAGTAGTTCAAGTTAAATGAATAAACTGTCTTTTTTTTTACCTCTGTAACTTTGTAAATGTTTTGTGCAATATTTGCATTTGTTGCCCTTATTGAATGCTGACCTTCAAATCTGCAGTTGGACTGACTTGCTGTTGGCAGCATTCTGTTTTTTAAAGGCTCTTTTGAGGCCAGGCTGATTTCCACAGAGATTTCTTTTTGCCTCAAACATTCCATCTCATTTTACCTCCTGTGCTTGGTGCTCATTACAGCATGATTGACTCAAGGATGAAATATGGCAGCTCATAAAGGTATTTTTTATCCCCTAATAAACCTCCTCAACCCTTGATCTGATTTTTTTATACAGAGTAAAATATGCATTGAGAAAAGTTGCCTACAAACTATTTGCTTTTACCTGAATGTTGCTGACTTATTTAACCTTCATTTGAAAAGAAAGACTGTTTTTCCCAATAAGACACATTTCCCTGTACACAAGAGGGTGAAAAAGGAGGCCCAGGTAAGATGTATTATCAGGTTACTTGTCTCTTGATCCATTGGCCTTTGAAAACATGACACCTCTTTTAAAGAAGAGATTATGTCAACTTCAATTGCCCTGGTTTTATTGAGCTCATGGCACTCATAAGTATACTGTAAAAGTGTTATAGGCCGAAGGGGTCAATTACAAAAGTTACTACCTGGGCCAAGAAGCTGGCCATTCAGGTTATGCTCAAGGGGATGAAAATTTTGAAGACGTTCTTCCTGATAGCTCTTCCCAAAGTTTACAAGCTCTCGTTCAGAATCACAGGAGAGGCTAAACATCTTGCGGAAGAAAGAATTCACTGGGAGCCTGATGCCATTGTCGACAATTTTATGGTTGAGTGAGACAATATTATTGTGTGTGTATGGGATCAGTCAAGGAATGTCTAGGTACTAAATTCCAGTGCCTGAAGCCTGCATTTTATTAACATGCTAATAGCCATCTGCTAACTGGACCAGATGGGAGGCAACTTGAATTGATCCTAGAGAGTTGTGCAAACTGACCAAATACCTTTAGTGTGCACACTGAATCAATATGAGGCTGTCACTTGTGCAGTCAAGTCTCATTTGGGTGCTTTTGTTTTTAGTTCAACTCCATGTGTATTCAGAGATTTCCTGAAGTTCAGAGGATGATATACTATAAAATGCAGATGTTAGCCTCCCCCTTTTTTTGAGATACCAAAAATTGTTTGATATGTTTATTTCATATTTTTATTTACATATTAATTTGTTTTGCATTGAATCTAGTGCTGCCCTTTAGTTTCTTAGGGTATGAGGAGGGAGAAGAGCTGAAGTTTGTTGTTGTTGTTCATACTCAAACCCACCCCCACATTATTCTAACCTGCTTAGATTACTCAGGGTGGGTTAGTCATCAAGAACTCATAAGGAGATTAGCACAGAGAAAGAAAAAGTTTCCTTTGCCATGTACTGAATATTTGTAAATTATCTCATGAATGTCTCCAAAAAACAAAAACAAAACAAACAAACAAAAATACCATTAATATTGTATAACTATTATTCCTATTTTAAATATATGGAAGCTAGGAAGCTAATTTACTTGTCCAAACTTTCACTTTGTAAGCAACAGACATGAGATTTCAATCCAGGTAGAGTATTATTAATATCTTACCCTACTCCCAAAGAATTGTTAATAATCATTACTCTAACTTCCTAGATAACCCTTTATGTATAGACTTGCAAGAGAGTGAAGGATCATAAGATAAAAGCTGTCAAACTGAGCTACACTGATGTATTTCACTATTTTACTAATGCCTATCTCCTGCCACATAAGCAGAAATTTGTTATAAGTGGCTAGACCAAGAGTACAGTTAGAAGGAGGTTGAGTCACCAAACATCGAGGTCATCAGAGAAGATTTCTTACAAAATAAGAGGAAAGAAATAGAATCTTCTTAGAATCAGTTATTCCAGGCTTGAAGAGTATTAGAGATAGAAGTCACCCCTAGTGCAATATTCTAACTCAGGGTCATTATATTTTGCTAGGATCAAAAGATCCCAAATGACAATTTATAATTATATCAATGAACATTTATAATTTATGCCTCTATTTATAGGCAGTTATCACAAGGCTAAAATATCCACTCTGATCTTATAGCTGACATGTTGAAAAATCAAAACACATCAGCTCCTGCCATGAATAATCTGTTTAAACAGTAGAGCAAATAACCTTTGATTAGTATGGCTGGCATTAATTTAGACATCACACTTCTGTCAGTGTTTAGCTGTACAAGACAGTTACAGAAGCATCAACTATGTCTCTTTAAATAAAACAAGGAATTCAGCTAAATCTTGAGTGTTAAACTGAATTAACTGAATCCAAAATAGACTTTGGATCTGTTGGTCCCCAGCTCACACATTCTTCAGAACATCCTAAACTTGTAATTATCTCTCTAAGGCCAGGATCCCTGTGAACAGGAAAACAGAAAAATCAGTTGCTTCTTGCAACCTAAAATCTATCTAAGCTACCTGAGAAAATCCATAGATGAACAATAATAGCTAAGATTTATTAAGCTCTCACTTGCTGTGTGCTAGCTGATAAATTAAGACTTTGCCATTAATCCTCACATCTTTCTTAGGAGAGGAATTACAAATCTAATATATAGCTTAAAAATTGAATTGAGATTTGGAATGGACGAAGGAAACTGCAGAAGTGAGGTGGTGGTAGAGGAGGGCCAGAGACCCAACTGACTCTTGAGACCATGACGGTTGCCCTCCTGTAAAAGGGATTCTCGTGTGCCAAGTGTGGGTAAATTGTTATCGCCTACTTGTGAAAACCCAGACCTCCTTCACTACATATGGAAACAGCTTCCTTTATTATTTTGGAGACATTTGTCCTTTGCAAGTATAGATTCTGTCTTCTGTCTTAGTATCTCAAATATCAGTACAATTTCTGGCTCATTTTTATACTCAGTAAATTGTCATTGAGAATGCATGAAAAAATGGCAAGCCTTTGTTTGTTTTTGAAGCTCACCAGAAAATGTCAGGCTGAGTGTTCCACACTGGGATAAAGGACGAAGGCTCAGCCTTTGTCCTGAAGGACCTAGCCATTAGTAATGGAAAAGAGATATCAGTAAGTAACCCACTGTAAGTACTTGCTTAAACCCCATTAAATACTTGCTTAAAATAAAAGCAAAGTGTAAAGGGAAAACAGCAGAGAAAAGAGCCCTCAGAGAGCAGGCAGTCTTGCTAGGGAGCTAAGGCAAGTCAGAAGAAGGGGGATGATGCACAGATAGGGTATAATACACTGTCAAGACTGTGTAGCGCTTATAGCTTCTATGTATGCATAATCAGTTCAATAGAGTTTAGAATACTTTAAGAATGAATGAAACCTTAAACTTTATAAATAATATGTATGTGTTGCCACTCTCCACACAATGTGCTATGTTTGATGCTTGCCTTGAACTAATACTTTCACTACAAATCATTTAGATAATATTTAGGTAGTTAATTCAATAATATTTTGCTTTAAAATATCCAGGCAAGAAAAACAGACTTTCTTAAGAGATATTGAAGATTTATGAGGAACTGGAAATAAATATCGACACATTAAGGATGATCTTTGCTTTGATTCACTACAAATCTTTCAGCTCCAGTTTTTTGAATGAACTATTTAATAGACATAGTCTAAGCCATGAAGAAAAATAAAAGTTTATGCACTAATTCTTCAGAGAAAAAAAAGACAGCAATGGTACAGGATAACAGAGTATTTAATTTCAAAATATGTGAACACAGACTCTGAACCTATAGCAACAAAAACAAGTCCCAGTGAGTAACATCATAACCCAAGTAAAAAGACAATTGCAATGTTGGTTAATATGACAAGATGAAATGGCCCTTTAATGAATTCTACATTGTACCTGTCACAAACAGTTGGAATGACAAGATATCAAGGCTCTGTCTTCTGTCCTCCAAACCAAAGTTTCCAGAACAAGAGACTTTATGTGATTTGATTAGAGATTATTCAGGCACCTCAGGGAAACTAAAATATATTGCTTTTTTTTCTATATAGACATACAGCAGGAGGATCTCCTGGAATTCATATGTGACTCCAAGAAAAGAGGAAAGACTGGGTCAGAGATCTAATTTGGATTTATATTTTAAATTGTCCAGCAATAGGCAAGAACATGAAAAGTAGAAAAGGAATAAAAGTAGGGCAAAATGGAGAGACAGAAAAATAAACATGAGAAGGAATGGTTATATAATCTTGTATGGATAAGGGTTGGAAACAGTTATGGAAGAAAATGAAGTGATAGCAACAAGGTGGTTCAGGAATGCATTGGTCCAGCTTTTGACACTCTTAAGGACATAAAGACTATGGAAGATAAAAATTTTAGAAAACTAAGTCACTCCATGACCATTCTGCTAGAGAAAGAACACAGCTCTTGTTTACATTTAGATAATGAATCTTTCTGGCAAGATAACCTTTTCCTTCTAAGGGAACAGGGTAGGCCATTGATCTTCAGCTAAGAATTATCTTCTAGGGGTTAGGACAAAGGAGTAACCTGGAGATGGCTAGGAGCTGAATAGCTGGTGAATTAAATCTTCCTTTTGAGAGTTACTTTTTTTGTTTTTCTCTATCATAGATGCTTTCCTGAATGGTCTGTCAATGGCTGACCTCAGATCCCTGCTCAGTCTTTCTTTGATATTTTCAGATAAAATAACTAACTATAACCATCCACAAGGTGACACCCTTGGCCCTGAATCTAGTCCCACCTGCCACCTCAAACAACCCAAAAGAAACTCTGTGGTTCATGGTCTGCCGTGATCACTCATAACCAGGCAACACAGAGCAGGTAAGGAATAGAAGAGATGAAAGAGAGAGAGAGAGAGAGAGAGAGAGTGGGAGAGGGAGAGAGAAGCAATGATTTATTATATTTTGTCAATAATTTATCTTGCCAAATGGATTTTACTATTAACCAAAGTCAGAGGAGTATACACATTACATGAAACTATGATTTTGGGAAATGTAATTGCATACTGTATCTGTTACTCTTTTTAGTGTATCTCCTATCAATTTTGATGGCCTCAGTGGTATCTTTAGCTTTTACCGATTATCCAACATTTGGGCTAAAGAGACTGAGTTTTTGTTTTCATTCATTTATTAAAAGTCTATAATATATAGACTATGATATAGTCTATAATAATGTCAACTATGAGATAGTATATAATGCAAATGGATAGAATTCACAGATACTTTTAAAGAATGCAACCCAATGCATGCTCTTCATTGGCAATATGGTCTAAGGTCTAAAATATGCATAGTCAAGAAATTCTTCTTATATTTAATTGAAATACTACATTTTACTCCAAGACAGCCTTCCTGCACATTGGTATTTGAAGATAAACCATTAGCATTTCTTATTCAAGATCACCGATATGAACTGTCACAGTAACCCGTGGGCCCCTACTCTGAGAGATCATGTGCTGCACAGGTCTTCTCAGCCACTCAGTTTCTTTTGATGTCTTCATAGTGCCTTCTGTGTGCCAGTTCCTACACTAGGTGTTTTCTTTCACATATGTCACCTTTTCTAACTAAATGGGATAAAATTAGAAGAGTTGAAGTTCAATATTAAAGCCAAGAAAATCACAATATGTATGCAGTGAAGCATTGTAGAAAAAGCAGTGGATTGGGAATGGGAGATCTGTTGTTTTCTGGTTTCAAAAGATCATCTAGGTATATAGCCTTGAAGATATATCCCTTAACTTTTCTAAATCTATGTTTTTGAAAATTGGAGTCTAACATATTTGTTTGTGCTTTTCAATTGCTTAAAAATTCTCTGAAGTGCTTATTCAAATACAGATTTTATGTATAGGTAATACCTATACTTAGATATTTTGCTTACTTGCTCTTGGACAGGGCCCAAGCATATGGGTCCTATGCCATGTTCTGATGGAACTCTTGTTCACACATTGTCTATAAGGTTGTCCTGAAGCACATCAAAACCCATATAGGTGTGAATATACTCATTCCTTTCTCCCCCCTGCCACCTTCCCAACACCTGATAAATGTTATTACTATATGTGCACTGAAGTGTTGATCAGTTAATACCAATTTGATGGTGAGTACATGTGGTCTTTGTTATTCCATTCTTGTTATACTTCACTTAGTAGAATGGCCTCTAGCTCTATGCAAGTTAATAAAGAGGTACTAGATCAACACTGTTTTTTGTGGCTGAGTACGCACCATCTGGGTAATGGACACACTTGTAGCTCTGACTCGGGTGAGGCAAAGGCAATATATGTAACCTAAACATTTGTACCTCTGTAATATTCTGAAATAAAGAAAAAATCGCCAAACTCTAAACAATTCAGAGAATTGGAAAAAATAAAAAATAAAAATTGAAAAAAAAAAAAAGATCCATATAGAAGTTACTTATTCTACAGCCTAAGAGTTGTTTCTGGTGTTACTATTTTTTTCCTTGTTGATTATAACACTTCTTACCAGAGGCCTTAGTTTTGAAATCTCTGAATGATTTAATTGAGCAAAGCCAATTTTGTAATTTCCTTCTCCATTCTTTTTATCGTATATTTTACAGCTAAGAAACTGTAATACTGCTGCTCTTCTGGCCTATGATACTCCTTTTACTTTTATATTCAAATTAAAGCTTTGCTCATAGCTCTGTAAATACTCTTACTTTACCTACAGAGGGGTTCCAAAAGTTATTCAAACTGAAAGAACTTGGCACGGAAGAGAGACGGTGGGGCAAAGGAATTAGAGCAATATTCTAAAGATAAAGTAAGATTTATGCTAAAATATTAGAGAAGGTGTAGAATAGTTAATGGGGAAACAGATTAGTAAAATGAGACATCTATCTATTTTGCATATCACAACTTTGCAATATTTACTAGGGGCTTATCCTTTTCAATGATAAAAGAAATCAGATAAATTAAAGAAAAAAACCTGACATAAGTTTGTTAGCAAATCTTTCACCTGCCTTTTGAAACATAAGTTTAAACAGTTATATGCAAACACATTCCAGTGATCTCAAGATCATTTATGACTTCTCAAAGATGTAAAAATAAAAAAGAAATGTAAGGTTCCTTAGAGGGCATTCTGTCTGAATTACAATGCATCTTAATGTTTTGTATAATGCAAGTATTAATAAGATGCAGACTTTTTCTTATATTGATAAGTGAACCATGCATAGGACCAACCAATATATTTGGAAAAAAATAACTTGAGCATTAACATATTATACATTGAAAATCTACTTCAAATCTAAAAGACATCTGAACCTTGCTATGGTACTATTGGGTTTGCCTTTTAGATTAACTCAATACCATGTACAATAAGATTCTGATATCCCATGATTTATAACATGTATTTAAATGATCAGGGTGTTAAATCATCCCTAACCCAAATTCTGGAAACATTTCAAATAGATATAATTTTAAAATGTTTTATCTTCTAATCTCAGTGTGACAAAGAATGTTCATAATGTTTTGATGATGAGGTGGAGAAAAAATTTAACTTCAAAAATGAATTCAGGAAATAGTGTAATTAAGCAAAACATATGGCATGATATAATATTATTGGCAGTCATCCTAGACATCAATTTTGAAGTTAAGTAAAAGCAAAGAAAGTGAAAGATCTCTGCTGTAAAAAGAAAAAAAAAGTTTTTAGGAACTTAGACTGTGAAGTTTACAGCTCTGAGTAATGGAACCCTCTGTACTAACATCATTATCTCCACATGGTTACTAAATAAAAATTAAAATATTATTTGCCCCTTTTGTGTCCAAGAGTGACTGTTGATAAGTTGAAAGGTTAGGAAGTGGTGTGTGGGCATAAAGCATGTTTCAGACAGGGAATTCATGAGAAAGTTGAGAGAACCTCCTGTTTCTAGGATGAAGTGCAATTGTGTCTGCCTGGACCCGTGTTCAAATGACATCTTATAGCAGCAGGCTGAGAATAAGCAGGTAGCCAGGATGATGGATGATACAGAAGCCTGACATTTTGAGGAAGTCAGAAAAAAATTTTAAAAATTAAAATTAAAAATGAAATTTAAATACTGCTGTAGGCAAGGTTGTAGGAGAATAAGCACTTCCATATAGTTCTAGTAGGAAAATAACTTCAGTTTTGAAATTTGTATTAAGAGATAACTTATAACACTGTAATTTTTCTTTTAGAAGCTATAATGATACAATAATTAAGATATGTATATAGCTTTAATTGTAAGGATGGTTATCAAAAGGATGCTCATAATATGGAAAAATAGAAATAATACACATTTCCAAAAAGATGTTATTTTTTATTAATTGTGGTACTTTTATGCAATTATAGACCATGAAAGGATTATATTGTTGTAGAAAGTTATTTCTTACTTGGAAAGATATCTATAAAATCTTAGTAAGTAGAGATGAAAAGATGGCTTACTAATATAAAGAATATAGTACAATTTTTGAATAAAAAATATGAATACTATACATAGGAAAGTATTCAGAGTATAAACCAACCTGTAAATTGCTATTTTATTATATTTATAGTATATATCATAAACTGAACATTTGTTATTTATTTGTTTACTTGTAGATCATTTGTCTCACCAATTAGAGCACAAGTTCCATGAGTTTGGGGATTGTCCTTGCCTGGGTTGCCACTGTATAGTACCTGGTATGGTATCATACCTGTACCTGTAACCTGGTATGGTACATACTAAGCTCAATAACTGTTTGTTGTTGTTGTTTTTATGTTAATGTACAACAGATCTTTGTTTAACAAATGTGTAAACCAATTATATTGTATCTAAAAATGAAAACATGTGCTTGGAACGCTAGTGATTTCTATTTGTTTTGTTTTCTATAATGATATATTACATGCTATAGAATTTCCTAAAATGAAACATTATAAGCTATGAAGGAAAAAAAAAGTGCATCAGGATCAAGCCAAGGCCCAGCAACAGATGATTAAATCAAGCTTACATTATCAGGTCAGGATTAGGATGAAGAGAGTTGAGAGGCATCTGGGCTCTAGACATCACACTATTAAATAAAACTTAATGGTTGTACAAAGAGCAGTATAAAAATAAAGTGGATTTTTAAAAAATGGTCTACTAATCAGGCATCCTAACAAATCAGCAACAGTGTCATCATTATTATTGTCAATGATTATCCATATTTGATTGTTGTAAAAATTATTAATTTCTAAGCCAATTCTCTTTGTGCATGAAAGCTGCCTCTAAACTCTTACATAATCCTCCAATTAACATAATGGTGAAAATAGCTATTGTCCTTATTGAAATTATAGCCTAAAGGAGCATTCTAAGGAGTGAGATTTCTGAATTAGAATCATACACTAAAACAGATGTATGTTCAGAAACCAACAGCCAGGGCAGTAGGGGGGTTAACAGAATCCACCAACAGTTTCCATTAGAATCTGCAATGGCAATATCATGTGCTAATGCCTCCCTCTGCCAATTTTTCACAAGTAATGAAAGTGAAATGAAACTATCACAAACTTTCATGTCACATGAAAGAGCTGGAGGAATTGGGACAGTTTAGTCTGTAAGACTAAAAGAAAATACCCAGGAGGGGCATTTCATCACTTCAAATACACAGAAAACTGACATATGGATTATCTAGCCTTTCAACAAAAAATATAGCTACAAAGGATAAAATTAAGACCAGTAGTGGGAATCTCAAGAAAATTGCTTCAGATTTATTCCAAGAAATAATTTCTAATAGAGTTGTCTACAGTTGCATATATCCCACTTACCTACATTCTCACAGAGAATAGAACCATATTGGTATGTCTTCCTCAATAGTTGAGACGAAGCACCTACAGGGGAAAAGTGTACTTATTTTCATTGGAATTCCTTTGGATGTAGCAGAGTAATTGACACCTGGGAAACCCAACTAACTATCCATGGCATGAGCAGAGGTTTCTCCATCACTGGGATATGGGCTACTGCATAGGCTACAAAATCATTCAGTGCCCAAAAGGCAGAGGGGAATCTCCTTTCCAGAACCCAATTAAAAGTTCTATTTTCTGTAAGTATTTAATCAAGGTCTCCAATTATTTGTTTGCTTTCACTTGTATATTCCCTTATTTTAAAGTTGAAATACATTTAAAGTATATATGCGTGTATCTGTGTCTATATTTACAGTAATTATTAGATTTTACTATAACTTATCCAACCATGCCTTGTCACAAGTCAAAAACTTTAGCATCTCTTCAGTACTACCTGGATAAATGCTAACTTCATTACCATTTGGGATGTGTCTTCTGCCTCCCTCTCCAGCTCCGTTTCTTGCTATTCTTCCCCTACCCAACACTGGTGAACCTCCAGACATTCTGAATGCCTGTATCTTGTTAAACCATTCCATGTTTTCTTGTCATCATGCTTTGACTCCTGTTGCTTTAACTGCAAGGATTAACCAGTGCTTTCCCAGTTTCTCTAGCTAACTCCTACTGATAGGTTAGGTTTTCATTTGGTTGTCACTCCCTCCTAAAATCTTCACTGATTTCAAAATCTGGGTTAGGAGCTCCAACAGCATCCTATACTTTCCCTATCCCACACTAGAGTGGCTCAGATTTCTTAATTTTCTTTCTGCCTTATCAAACTGTAAATTCCATAAAGATAAATGTCATGTCTATCTTGTTTAATTGTATATCCCCATTACTTAGCATGGAGTGCCTGCACATAGTAAGTGCTTGATAAACACTTTTTAAATGAATGGCTGATTGCTGTTTGCAAGGCATGAACCAATAATATCCTAGAAGTCTGAGTCCGTATTGTATTTTTAAATTTCATGCTGTAGTACAAGAATCAATCCACATGGAGAACAGGATTAGATTGAATTATTTAAAAGAATTAGTTTTTCCTGATGAATTGCTTATGGCCTGGCATCAGTATACAATCTCTCTCTCTCTCTCTCTCTCTCTCTCTCTCTCTCTCTCTCTCTCTCTCTCTCTCTCTCTTTCTCTCTCTCTCACAGTTTCTTACCACAAACATGTACATCTGCTTTGAGAACATGGTACAGAGAAGACATTCACCTGAAATATTATATTGACAAAGCAGTCTGTCATCCTGCATCTACTCTGAGTTCACTAATGGATATGCAAGATGTGGTCCATGCAACCATGGGACTTATTTTTGCTATCACTTACCCTTTGAGTACCTTTGGTAATTGGCCATGTTGACAGAAGCAGCCAACATTTTGTATTAGAGGTTCCAGTGGGTGCATCATGCATTGATTGCTTTCTCTGTCAATTCATTCTGGTTGCCCAGTAATGAAATCGAAATGAAACTATCACAAATCGGTAGCTCATCAAATCTAAAGCAAGTCTGACAGTTCATTTCTTCTGCCTGGGGAATATTCCACATGGGTGTATTTTGCCCCCTATAGTCCAATACACGTACACATTTTCTGCCAGGAAGGGGAAAATAATGAAATAAAAAGGGTGTGAAATATCCTTCAGTATGTGAGGATGTGGTATAAATTCAAGATCTGATACTTCATTAGGAACTGAGCCAAAACAATTTTCCTTTAGTGTAGTATATCCATGTATATGTTTGTGTATGTATGTGTATTTTTCTTATTTAGTATCTGTATTAGTCTGTATATAATATATATAAACAAAATATCATATTTCTTCTGAAATAAATGGCTATAACTTTTGTGCCTTCAGACATAGAAGAGGGGGCCTGAAGAAAATATGGAAAAGTAGATAGAGAGGTAGAAGGAGAAGAAAATACAGCCAATTAAACAATAGGTGTTAGAGTTTTGGTGCTAACAGGACTTACAATCATTTTTTGAAACTTCAGATAATCATTTGAGAAGAAAACACTAAGAAGAAATAGAGTTTGAAAGTACATCAGCAATGAAGGAGACTTATTTTTTGGGGATTGGAATGGCAAAGTGGATTTCATTATGTGTTTTCAATGTATGTTTGTCTTCATTTGCCAATGTAAGCAAAAGCTGGTGTCATACATAATTCACTGATTGCTTGAAGAGTATTTATTCTAGCTATTTTAGTAAGTTCACATTTTTTTGTAAATAATTGGTTATTTGTTGTTTTCAAAACAAAGTATTTGACCCTATAACAACTCTGTGAAGTTGACCAGGAAGATAGGTTTTATTCCCATTTTGGAGGTGAAAACTGAGACTATGACCACAAAGTTTACTCATAACCAAATGGAACCAGAATCCACACTCCCTGACCCAGTTCAATACTCTACCTTTTCATTTTCCCAGCAGATACATATAGCATCTAAAAATGTTATATGGATTCACCTGGGCAATTGTTAAATTGGGAGCATAAAGCCTTTTTTTTTATCAAAATAGACACCAATAGTTTGTTCATTTCCACATATCCTCCCCAAGGCAATAATCAATCTAAACCATTCCAATGAGTCAGAGAGCAGGTGTACATTAAAGGGTGAAATGAAAGAACTAACATTTTTTGAGAAACTAATATGGGCAGAGTTTATTATCAGATGTTTCTCACATGTTAATTTATTTAATCCTCATGAAAATCTTTGGAAGTAAAATATATTTCCTTTCATTTTACATATAAAGAAACAAAGGCTTTTCAAAGATATTGAGTACTTTGTCCTAATGGCCAGTAGGTGGCAGATGTATAATAACAAGGCCAATTCCACTCCACCACATGACTTCTGGCCTGCTTACCATGGCTTTGGCAGAAAGTGTTCATGCAAACCTATTACCTATTACAGATAATTATTCTATTCTTCATTTAGAAACAATATGGCCATAACCAGGCTTATTATTTTTTGATAAACTCAAACTTAGGTGTGAGTTATAATTTGAATGGCTTTCCCATCCTATGACTTAACCAATATGCTTACATACCTTGGGTGATATTTTCTTTCCTATAAAATGAGTAATTCAAATAAAATAATTTATATTGTCCTTTATTGCTCTTAAGTCATATCATATAACTCTATTATAGCTCCTTGACCTATACTACACAGAGTAAGCTGAGTGGCTATGGTGGCATGTATCTCCACAGCAGCTGATATCATAATTATGCAGGGATTAAAATGCCCACCTTAGACGAACCAAGTTAGCTAGTTAAAGATTTATAGTAAAAGTTACTAAGCAACCTAAGAAAGGACAATGCAGCATATCACAATTGTACAATCAATGCCAAATTGTGAAATCACAGATCAATAGAATAGAAAAACCCAAAAATAAAGAATTTCGCTATCTAGTTCTTTTTTTCCCCTCTTTCCTATTGAAAGAAACCACATCTGACAGTCTAAGTTTCAAAATGGCCTTTTGTTTGTACTACTGGAAACAAAATATTACCAATCGATACTAATCAATTAACATCATAAATCTCAGAGGAAAAAAAGGATATTCCAGCCAGCTGGGCTCAGTCTCTACAGATGCAGAAAATTAAGTCCAGAGAGGTGAAATAATGCTCAAAATTATACAGACTTGGTTCCCAAAAAGAAACTGTACATTCCCTGTCTCCAAAATTCGAGTCCAGTGCAATTTTTCCACTACACTGTGTGCATAGCTTCCTATGTCAGGATTACTGATTTCTTCCAGTAATGGCCTTCAAGATTTTCATGGCTCCCTCCTACACTGACTAGGCATGGCCCTGTGCCTTTCTTTATGCTGCTTTATGAGACCAAAGCATGCAGGACATAAGCAGAGACTTGAGCACTGTTTGTACATAGGGGCAGTTCTACTCTTTCTGCTCTTGGAATCTGCTGGCACCATGTGAATAAGCACAAGTTAACCTGCTGGCTGATGAGAGAATTGTGGCTAAGGTGCCCTTGTCACACCAAGTTTGCAAGCAGTCACTCCCAGAATTCTTG